CGTGATCCGACGCTCTTATAAGAAGGGCGGTTTGGACCGTCCTGCGATTCCCGCAGAGTTTGGCCGGTGGCTTGCCGAGCAGACCTGGGGAGAGACCTGGGACAAGCCAACTGCTGAGGAGTTGTTGCAGTTGGTGGTTGGCCCGGCTGGGTAGCCGGCACCAGAGATATCATCGTCCCGCGTACCCGCTACATCGCTCGGTACCTGGTACGGGAGGGTGCTGTCCAAATCCTGCGCGTTTTCATACGCCCAGACGGTCACCGCGAGGTTGCCGCGAAACTCGGCAAAGGGCCTTCGGAACCACTGCAACTGCTTACTGGGCCTGCGAGGCGTGCGCACATGTCCCGTTTTCTCTGAGTCGGAATGAGCTCCTTTATAAACACGCGCTCATAAATCTTCGCTCGAATTCGTCGCTGAAGATCCGCCAAACGAATACAGTTGTCGATATCTTATGAGATATGATATCTTATAGGATATGCATTCTATCGTTCTCGACACCTCTGTGATTGTTGGCGCGCTGAGAAGCGGGCAAGGGGCTGGAAATGCATTATTGCGTGAGGTGGCGCAGGGCAATTTGGAGCTGCTGGCCACGCCGGCCTTGTTCTTCGAGTATGAAGAGGTCCTTAAGCGGGCGGAACACCGGATCGTGACGGCAATGTCAGAGGATGCGGTGGATAGATTTCTTGCGGCCCTGGCCAGTGCCTGCCGACCAGTGGAGATACGGTATCGATGGCGCCCACAGTTGCCAGATGCCAATGATGAGATGCTGTTGGAGGCCGCGGTCAATGGTCAAGCCGATGCGCTGGTTACCTACAACCTAAAGCACTTTCGAACCGCTTCGGTTCGATTTGGGCTCCGGGTCATGCAACCCGGAACATTCTTGATGGAGATGCGAGATGGCTAAAAAATCCTATCCCTTAAAGCTGCCTGCTTCCGTGAAGGCGGCTGCTGAGCGGTTGGCCCGCGAAGATGGCGTCTCTTTGAATTTGTGGATCTCGACGGCAGTGGCCCAGAAGGTAGGGGCGGTCGAGTCAGCAGCGGATTTTTTCTCGCGTAAGGCGGGCGAGGCGACGCCGGCCGACTTGCTACCGTTTCTCGACAATGCTGCCGATGAACCCCCCGTGCCGGGCGACGAAATGCCCGAATCCACTCGCGCCTAACGCACTTGACTACCTTTAGTTGAGCCGCAAACAGGCGATCGCGCAAGCACAGAAGACTTAAACAGTATCTTGATTGCTCCCCTTATCAGGGTGCCGGAGCGGGGCGGTGACACTCCGCGCCGTCCGGGTCCGCGCTGACCCTCAGCGCTTTTTTAAAGCAATAGAACTCCCCAAATCAGTACTTTGAATGGCAAAGATTCGAAACATTAGATAGGCGCACTGACCTGAGAGTGGAGCGGGGGCTGCCCTGGCTGGGGGCCGCTTCAACCGCCCTGGGATTTAGGCACGTTATCTGGCCCTGGAAACTGAGACAGCACCGGTTGTCGACTAGTCGGTGTTAGCTGTATTACAATGTACACAACCTAACACAACAGAGCCTGCCATGACATCAACTATGTCGATCCGACTAGAGAACGCAATCAAGGAGCGACTTGAGCTGTTGGCGAATGCAACTGATCGCAGCAAGTCCTTTCTGGCGGCGGAAGCTATCCGCGAATACGTCGAAAACAATGAGTGGCAGATCCGGGAAATCCAATTAGCGCTCAAAGAGGCAGATGCCGGCGACTTTGCATCGGCTGAAGAGGTGGCCGACCTAGGTCGAAAGTGGGCGTCGAGTGCAGGTTAAATGGTTGCGCATGGCACTTAGGAATCTCGACGAAGAAGCTGCCTACATTGCTACTGATGACCCGAAAGCGGCGCAACTCGTTGTCGAACGCATCCTCAACTCGGTCAATTCACTCGTTGATCAGCCTAATCTGGGTCGCCCAGGCCGAGTAGCCGGTACCCGAGAACTCGTCGTGGCTCGTACTCGGTACATCGTGCCGTATCGAGTGCAGGGCGACGTCGTTCAAATCCTGCGTGTTTTTCACACGTCCAGACGCCGGCCGCGAAGCTGGACATAGAGAGCCCGCACTATCGACGTTTGCTCGTTTTGTCGCGGCAAACGGCCCGAACTAAATCAGGCGCCCCCAAATCTAAAGGCCCTCAGTAGGCCGAATCGTTCGATCTAGATGGACCGTCTTGCCCTGTTAGCATGTTGATAATGACTATTATCAAGGTAATATAATTAAACCCTTCCAGAAAAGATCGCGTTTCCATCTCTGTCCCACATCATGGTTTGATGCTTTGACAATCAATGCCTTAGCAAGCGGTTTGGCTTCATGCACGCACGGAGCGGTTTTGGAGGCGAAGCGTGGCTGATCCCGTTCATGCCGATGTGGCTTCGGAAAGCGCCGCGATACCAGCATCGCGCGGCCGGGGTCGACCGACTGGCGCGAGCGAAGCCTTCACCCGGCAGACCCGCCGCGTACACGTGGGGCACTTCGCGTTTGTGCGCGCGGTGATTCAGGGGCTATCCGTTGAGACCAGCTTTAATCGCTACCTGAAGATGGACGAAGACGGGGAAGGGCCACGGTCCGGGGTAGCCACGATCCGCTGGTTGCGTTCAGAGTTTGTGGCCGCGGCGCGCAAGCAGGCGCGACCGGGCACTGCTCGATTGTTGGCGATCGATGTCAGCCAGATTCCGACGATCCCTGCCAAGCTGCCGGATGTGGATGCACGCGTGGCGAGAGATGATTTTGAAGACGTGAGTGGCTCGGGGGTGCTGCGGGCCTATGAGCAGTCTCACCTCGCGCGGCCAGGCGACAAACTCAATCGGCGTGTCCGCTTGATGGATAAACAACTTCAGGCGCTGACCTGGTTGGAGCAACTCATCGCGCAGCGCCCGCAACCGGGCGACGGGTGTGGGGCATGGTTCAGCGATCGGCTCGATCGCCAACTGGGCGCGGCAGGCATCTTCACCCTGGCGCAACTGGCCGAACACATCAACGGCCTGGGTCGGCACTGGTATCGCTCGATTAAGAGCATCGGGCCAACGAAAGCAAAAAGGATTGAGGCGTGGCTACGCGAGCACGGCACCGAATTGCGTTTGACCCTGGGTCAACACGTGACGGTGGCGCGATCCCGTTTATATCCTGAAGAGCTGAACCAACTGGTGCGGCCCGCGACAGCCCTGCGCCCGTTAGAAAAGTTTATCGTGCCGGTTGAGCTGGATGGCAGCCAGGGCGCGTATCGGCAACCCCAGTCGCGATGCCTGATGCGGGCGCGCAATGATTACGATGCGATCCTGGCCTGGTTGCAAGCCAAGCCGGCGATGTCGCCCGAAGCCCAAGAAGCAAAACGCCGTCGGCGGGGTAGGGCGGCGCCGGCCACCCAAGCTGCTCAAGTGGGCGGATTCGTGGCGCCGGACGCTTGGTTGTCGATGCTGTCACACACCCAACGCGCCTACCGGAAGGAGGCCGAGCGGTTCTTGCTCTGGGCGATTCTGGAGCGGGGCAAGCCGCTGTCCTCGATGACGACGGAGGACTGCACCGCGTACCGGGATTTCCTGGCAAACCCACCCCTTGACTGGTGCGGCCCGAGAGGGCGGGAACGATGGTCGCCGCTGTGGCGACCTTTTGAAGGCCCGCTGTCGGTGAGTGCCAGGCGCCACGCCACCACCATCCTGAAAAACCTCTACGGTTTTCTGACGGCGCAGAACTACCTGATGGGTAACCCGTGGTCGGGCGTGGCGATGCCGCGTGCCAATGGGCGCCGGTTGGATACCTCACGCAGTTTTACTGAAACTCAGTGGCTGTTCATCCTCAAGCAGTTTGAGGATTGGGACCAAGCACGCCCAATTGGAGTCGAGCAACCGGAGAGTGAGTTGCGGCTGCTCTTTATCCTCAATTTTTTGTATACGACCGGGTTGCGACTAAGCGAAGCGGTGCACGCGCGGGTGAGTGATCTCCGCTGGGTGGAGTATCCGCCTGGCCAGGGACAGCACAAACCGACCGAGGGTTGGGAGCTCACGGTCGATGGGAAGGGCGGCAAGCTGCGCGAGGTAATTGTGCCCACGGCCATCGTTGAACTCTTGAAGCTTTACCTAAAAAGGCGGGGGCTGGGCAGTGACGTCAACAGCGCCAGTGCGCAGGCGGCCTACTTGTTTGCGCCTTTGCAGCAGCCTGGTGAAGCAGCCCGCCGTTTATTGGGGCAGGGTGCAAACCCCGACCCCACGGCGGGGCTAGCCGAGTCCACACTGTACTCACTGCTGAAGCATTTCTTTAAGCACTGCGCGGGTAAGTTGATCGTTTCAGATGCAAAAGAAGCAGAGCGTTTTCGGCGCGCCAGTACCCACTGGCTTCGGCACGCCCACGCCAGTCATGGGATCGCAAAAGGGGTTCCGTTGGAAGTGATGCAGGCCAATCTTGGCCATGCTTCGCTGGCGACAACAACGGTGTATGTGACGACTGAAAAGGCGCGCCGTATGCGGGCGATGCAACGGGCTTGGCGGTAACGTGTTGGATTCAATTAGGCTTTCGCGATCTGCCTACGAGACAGTTGCTGAGCGGAAAAAATTATATAAAACAATAGGTTGGAAACATAAGTCCAATCATGGGGCGTATTATTTCGAGGGCGGGTCAGAACCGGTTCACTGACCCCGGAGACTGGGAATCCATCCATGACTAACAAAAACAACGACTTAGGACTGCTCGGGCAGCGAATCAATCGTTGGCTGGATCGCGTTGAAGCACCGATAGCCGGCCTGTACGAGAAGTGGCGGCGGTTCTATGACCAGGCACTAGAACCCAACGTAGCGGAGGGCAGGAGTCTTATTCGTCCCCTGGTGTTCTTTGCCGGGCTGATCGTGGTCGGTCTGCTGGTGGCGGGTTCGCTGTGGTTACTTGCGGCCATGATCGATGATCTGTCAGGTGCCTCGGAGGATCGGTCCGAAGCGGTTCGAAACTGGGCCTTTGTATTCGCTGGGCTTATTGGTTTGCCGCTCGCGCTTTGGCGATCATCCGTGGCAGCGGAACAAGCACGCATTGCTAACCGCCAAGCCAACACCGCCGAACGCGGTCAAGTGACCGATCGATTCAGTAAAGCGGTTGAGCAGTTAGCCGCGACAGTCGAAGAGGACAGCAAACTTGAACCGAATCTGACCGTAAGGATCGGGGCGATTTATGCGCTCGGTCGAATTGCTAAGGACTCAAAGGACGACGCTCAGACGGTTTTTGATGTGCTTTCCTCCTACGTACAAGCTGTTGCGCCAATTCAGGAGAAAAATGATGGAGCACGGCATACACTCACTGATCTAGCGCTCGAGCTTAGAGGAGTACCGCCACGGGCAGATATTCGTGCGATCGCAAAGGTTTGTCGCGATATTAGTCCTCAGGTTGATGTTCAAATCGACTTTTCCAATTGCTCCCTTGCGCGTGTTGATTTCTCAGGCGCAAAGCTGCGGAGATCGAAGCTAATCAACTGTGACCTGCGTTTCGCGCGCTTTGCCCACGGGGACTTTTCCGCAAGTCAATTCGATAAGAGTCTCCTAGACGAAGCAGAGTTCATGTTTACAAGGATCCGGAGCACCTCATTTTTCGACTGTCTCCTCTCAGGCGCTAAGTTCAGGCACGCTGACTTGACAGGCGCAGTTTTGAGGGAGGCAGAGGTTCGAGGTGGAAAATTCCATCACGCAACCATCGCTTTGGCAAAGCTGATCGAAGCAGATCTTTCGCGAGCAGAACTACATGGCGTAGATCTCGACTCCGCCGATCTTGAGGGCGTGAAAGGGTGGTCAACCGTGAAAGGCAAAGACACCATCCGGAACCTCGATAAAGCAAAAAACGTCCCCCCAGACAATGAAACCAAATAGCCTCGCCGAGGCAGGCTTGCCGGGCCTCGATGTCGAAGAATGGCTCGCCCTCAAATTCTGGATGATGGGTGCCTCAGCGCTTAGCGCGATCAAGCGACTGCCCATTGACGGTAAACCGGGAGGGGTTGAACCTCATCACCACCTGGCGCAGCTTAAGACGCGAGCCATTGCCATCGCCCGCGCCAATGAGCGTCACGAGCTGGTCTCACTGCTACGCAATCCTCAGCCGGCCAGTGAGAAGGCGATGAAGCGCGTTCGGGAATCGCTCGACACCATCAAAAAGCTTCCCCTGCAGATCACCCCAAAGGCGGATGACAGGCTCACCAAATGGACACCCGCCCGAGCGGCTAATCCCCTCATCAGAAGCGGCTGCAAAACGATCAGCGAGTTGAATGTGCTCGCCGTCGATCCTCGATGGCACCAGAAAATCCCGCGCCTCGGCCGCACCGTTCGCAAGGCGTGCGAGTCGCTACTGGAAACGCTCAAGAGCAACCACCAGCTCACCGTCATCGAACCCCGCAAGCATCTGTTGGGTCAGGCTTGGCGGTCACTGGTGCCCGGGACGGAATTGTCACGTTGACCAACGATATGGCATGGTTCAGGCATGAAAAAAGCTAACAGTTACCACGGTCATCGTTTTCCGCCTGAAATCATCAGTACAGCCGTTTGGATGTACCACCGGTTCGCCCTCAGTTTTCGGGACGTCGAAGACCTCATGGCGCATCGTGGGGTGATTGTGTCTTACGAATCAATTCGCCGCTGGTGCCTGAAGTTTGGACCGCAGTACCAACGGGTCTTGAAGCGCCGCGAGTCGAAGGGTGCAGACCAGTGGTTGGTTGATGAGATGTACATTCAAATAGGTGGTGAACAGTACTACCTTTGGCGAGCTGTTGACCAAGATGGAGATGTTCTAGATATCTTGGTGCAGCGCCGCCGCAATCGTGCAGCCGCCGAACGCTTCTTTCGAAAAGTACTGCAAAGACAGGGTAGGGCGCCACGGGTCATAGTTACCGACAAGCTCGCGAGTTATCCAGCGGCGATCCGAACGGTGCTTCCTGAGTCAGAACACGACACGCGATGTTATGCGAACAATCGCGCAGAGAGTTCACAACAGGCAACTCGCAGACAGGAGCAATGGGATGGACTCCTCCTCACCCAGACTATCCGGCGTCTATGCGCCAAAATGGCCAATGCAAATTAGCCATTTACGTAAGATGAGAGGAGCCCGAGATGAAGATTACCCGAATCGGAGTGGACATTGCTAAATTGGTATTTCACGTGCACGGTGTTGATCGTCATGATGCCAACCAATGGCGCGCAAAGCTAAAGCGCAATGAATGGTTGGACGCGGTGTGTGAGCGCTTGGAACCAGGCGCTGAGGGAGAGCGCGCAAAACCGTGGGAGGTAGCGAAATCTCGATGGGCCGGTTACTTTAGCGGTTTAGACCTGGTCAGGAGATATCTCCATGCAAATGATCATTGAAGCGCGCCTGGAAGGCGCCGATGTGGATGCCAAGGGCATCATAATTCCCCTCGGCTCCATCGCTCGCCACAACGACGACATTGCACAGCTGGGACTATCCCTGGCCGAGAGCAAGCAGCTGCTCGCAGCCACTCAAGTCGCACTGATGAAGATTCAGGCTGCATCCTGGATTGATCATGAACGAGTCTGCCGTTATTGCCAAGTTCCGCTATTGCGCAAAGATTCTCGCAACATTGTCATGCGAACCGTATTCGGTAAGGTCCGACTGAACAGCCCACGTTTCTGGGCATGCGATTGCGACCAGGCGGATCAATGGGAATCCCGAACAGTCAGTCCGTTGTCACGCGCACTGACCAGGCGTGTAACGCCAGAGTTAGACTATTTGCAGACTAGGTGGGCGGCGTACTTGCCCTACAAAGCTAGTACTGCATTATTAACTCAGGTACTACCGGTAGACGAATGCATTTCCGCCAGCGGTAGTCGAAATCGCATTCAATCGGCGAGCCGCCAGATTGAAGCCCGAATTGAGCAAGATATCGACAGGCTGTCATTGGTTGGCGACACTCACAACCCAAAAGAATCGGGTCGCGTGAACACGATCAGTGTTGATTCTGCCTGGGTCCGCCACTCTCAGCCGACACCGGGGTATGGGCAACACGTTCATATCACCGCCGGTCGGGCTACTCTAGATGACGGCAGCAATCGCGTTTATGCGTTTGTGGGGCGGCGGATCGCGTCGCGAGCGGACAGGCTCGACCAATTCCTTGGCCGATGCGGTGTACGTTGGGATGAGCGTGTGACTGTCGTTTGTGATGGAGCTAACGAGTTTGCGACGGCAATCCGGGGCAGCCGTTTGGCGCGAGGTCAGGTACTGGACTGGTTCCATTTGGCGATGAAGTTTCGGGCAGCAGAGCAATCAGTAGTCGGATGCCGGCATCAAGATGGACCAGACTGGGAATGGATCTCGGCGCAGATAGCGAGCGCCAAGTGGCTGGTCTGGCACGGCAAGGGGCGGCGGGCGATTACTCGGCTCAAGAGCGTTCTAGGTGAGCTGGAACGATGGCCTGGTCAAGAATTCTCTACGCTGTGGTGGAACGTCAGTAAGGCTAGATCCTATGTCAGGGGCAATCGCCAGTACCTGGCAAACTATGGCGCCCGGCATCGAAAGGGTTTGCCGATCAGCAGTGCAATCGCAGAGTCTGCCGTTAACCAAGTGATCAGCCATCGTATGGCCAAGAAAAAGCAGATGCGTTGGTCGGAGAAAGGCGCGCACGCGATGGCGCAGGTACGGGCTGCGGAGCTAAACGGCGAACTGACACCGAGCACGTACGGTTTCCTGCCTCATGCATATCAGTTCGATGAATGGAAACAAGCGGCTTAGTGGCGATGGCATTTCGCCAATTCAAACTCCCACACTTTTGCGCGCTCTCGTTCAAACAGCTACCCTGGCGGGGGCAACGTCAGAACCTCCACCGCTTACTCAACGAAAAACCCCCACACTTACCTGCAGTGCTTCATCGGGGGATTACCCAAGCCTCCAACGTGCCGCACCTAAGCTATCATCCGACTTCTGTATTGAGCCCGCTAGGCGAGTGGTAATCCACCGCGAATACGGGACAAGCGAAAGTAATGTTCGCTACGCTTGCAAGCATCACAATGAAAGTGGTTCGGAGAAACGCTATGCCTCAATTCCAGGGGATTGTTTTGAGCGGAGGCGGATCTAAGGGGCCGTATGCCCTTGGAGTCCTACTTGCTATGCATCAATATCATACTGAGCGCGGTAAAACGGTCACGAATTTCTATTGCGGAACTTCTGTAGGTGCATTGAATGCGACCGTTGCGGCACAAGGATCGCTTGATGAACTGACGTCACTCTACCGCGATTTGAGGACGAGTAGCGTTCTGGGTAAGAGTAACTCTAAGGTAAGCCGGCTTCAGCTGCTATGCACGAGTTCGCGAAAACCGTATCG